CCCCCCCCCCCTTCGCAAAAGAGCAAACAAAGGAGAATCGAATGATGATTTTAGCGCACGTATTTATACAGATTATCTTATAGACACGCAATACTCTTTTTGATGGCATAGTCTTTAAGTAATATTTAAATATTTAAATATGCAAATCGTATATATATACACGTATATATCATTATCGTACGAGCTATATATTATATATTATTTTGTACGTTTATTTAATTTTATTTTTATAAAGATTTAGCCGTTTACATAGATATATTTATACGAGGTTGAGGGCCGAAGCAACGGGTAATACTCATTGTTGTTAGGAACGAGTAGAATGGTTGGATACATTTTTAGCTTACATGACAAAGACTTACTTAATATCACTGACAAAAATCAAAAGCTGCGCGATAGAGCGAGAGAATAGTCCGGTGTCAACGATAGCTTTTTTCAAGTCTATGTTTAACGAAATTTATATATATATATATATATATATATATATATACACGCACGCGCAAAAATCTCTCCGAGGTACCTAGATACAAGCGTCGATATAAGCGAAAAAGAAGATGTCATATCTATATGGTAGATTCGTTTAATAGGTAATAAGTAAGTAAGTAAGTAAGTAAGTATGTGTGTCTCTCCGACAGAGTCACGTCTCGCCGAGCAGGCGGAGGTTTTTAACATGGAGTTTCAGAGACGCACGATTTCACTGACAATTTACAGTATTCTTACAGTGTTCTGGTAGGCAAGTTTGCCCAGCTACAGGCCTAAAGAGTACGACCGAACGCGAGCTCACGAGAGATCAGGACGGGTACGTGGAACACGGTCGCGTGTTGAATGTTACGCTGCTCTATCGAGATGTCTTTTAGGTCTGTATTTATAGTCGTATATCATCCGTTATTGAGCCACATTTCAGACAAACTAGGTTTGATCCAAAATTTAAATCGGATTTATTAATTGTGGTTTGAAAAGTGTTTTTGAGATGAAAGATTGACTTAAACCAAGCTCAGATTTTCAGGTTGATTTACGACTATGAATACGACTCTTTCGATTCGATTGGATGCACTCAATGCGTATTAATGCACAAGGTCGTATACAAAATAATGTAAAAATATGTGCTTATGTATAAATTGCGAAATCCTCAATACACTTTATTGTGCTGTCAATTAAAATATGTATTTTATAATTTGAAACATTTACATGTCACTTTTACATTCAGATCAAATCAGTATACTTTAATATGCAGTTCGCACTGGTGCGTCCAATCCAATTTGTTATTTGAGTAATGTGATCCCAAGGTGCTTTGTACGCGAGTGGATATTAATAAACGATGTGAAATTAGTAGCTGATTTCATTATCCTTGAAGTCATGTCTTTGAGAGGAAAGTTTAAACTAGTGCCTCCAAGTCCCATTACTCAAAAATATCTCAGTTATTCAATATCGAGCAGCAAATCAGAGCAATCTCGATATCGAATTAGAGCAGCGACGTGTCTCATATTCCATGCTCGCGATGCTCAAGCTGAGAATAAGAAAGGACATCCTTAGAGTGTACGAGCGTTATCATATTTCCGCAGTATTTCTACCGTATTCGCAGTATTTTCGCGCGTGTTTCAGGCATTTAGTAGCTTCCGCGTCCTCGTGTTCATAGTCGTGGAGGGATGATCGCGTCGACGATCGTGAGCTCGCGTGTCGGTCGTAGACTGGAGGTAACGATCAGCATTAACCCTTAAGTAGGCGCACTAGCAAAATCATACAGCGATTGAAGTGGCTCTGGAGCTTCTCTCTCCCGAGGAGACTAAACATCATCGTTTGATTTGCCTTTTACTTATGGTAGTGTAACCATTTTTAGGTGGGTTGGAAGTACATCCAGGAGATTAAGAAGAAGAAGAAGTGACTCTGACCCCATGCGCTTACTTAAGGGTTAATCCTACGACGTCGCCACGAACAGATCGCTTTCGGAAAGGGTGGTTTCTTCCGTGTTCAGCGGAGTCGAAACAATCCGCTTTCGTCTCGTTGACGTTGTAGCGACGTCGTCGCCGGAACCCGTTGCACAAAGAAAACAGAAGAAAGGATTCTTCCTTGCTAGTATATCATAAATTAGTACCGGTAAATACCAACGATGGTAAATACTGTCGATGGAAAATATTCTTTGTGATACGGGTTCCTCCCTCCCCGATGTGTGTCGTTTTATTTGCACTGATAATAGCGGCAGGATTCTAGATTTTTTTAGCGGGCCGAGACGGATCCCTTGTGGATCCGTGCAGAGAAAAGTGATCTTGCGCCGGAAGTGACGGTCCTGCTGACCATACTCATGCTGTGTATATGTTGGCGACAGGCGCAGCGGCGGTCGCCGCCAAGCAGCGTAGGCACCTGGGTCAGATCCGCGAGCACCCTTATCAAAGGGCCGGCGCTCTCTCGTGAACACACAGAGACGATGCGAGTACACAGAGAGAGCGAGAGAGAGAGAGAGAGAGAGAGAAAAGAAAGCGAGAGAGAGAGAGAGAAAAAGCGAAAAAGAGAGAAAATACAGAGCACTGTTCCCGCGCCATTGCGGAAAGGTTAGTGTCTGCTCAGGCAATCAATTAAGTTCTCTCTTTTGTCCTTCTATATTTTTTATCTTTTTTTTCCTTCAACGTCTTCACCATCTTCCTTGCAGTCTCGACGTCGGAATGGTCGAGGCGTTTTTCTCGTCTCGTGACGAGGCCACTTACATTACTTATCTTCTAAATCAGAAAACGACGGCGATCGCTAAAACTATACATAGGTTGATACAAGAAATTTTTTTGCCTAGCTTTTGTAGAAAAAAAAATCAGAGGATTTCTTTTTTTTTTAAAGGAATTAAATAATCTTATTCTTGATGAAAAAGAAAAAAACTGATGCCATGGCATCAAATCGTTTCAAATTTACTGGAGTTTTATTTTCGATTTGACGAATCTTTTGTATTAACCTGACTTACTTTCGTTTTAGCGAACTCCTTGAACATTTGATTTAGGTCTAATGTCTTAATAATTTTTACTGTTGTATATTTATGATAAACCTGTGAGAGCTATCTATATTTAAATAATTTCGAGTTCACTCTCTAAACACTTGTGTAGTGGAATCTCACTTCAAAAGGAAAAATTAAGTCAATCTTGAAAAAGAGTGGCTTAATTTTCAATCTTTATGAGTAAGACTTCACTCTTTAGAATGAGATTCAGTCTAAAAGTTTTAGAGAGCATGGTAGAGTGCTTAGATCATTCCGACGAGAGATTTATATATACGTATATAGCTTTTTATCATTTATGTATGACGAGACTCGCGCAGCACAACACGCGCCTCGGTTTTGGCTCGTGCTGAAGCCGCGGCGAAAATATAGGTCTTTCACACGTGTCTCCTCTACAAACGTGCTGTTGTTCTGGAAGCTTTCACTCGGGCTGGAGCCTCCGCGAGAGCGGGCAGCAGCAACGGTAATGTGTGCGTGCGTGCGTGTGTGTGTGCACGCGCGCGTCTCGTCCTGTGTACCTGACGCCGCACCGATCGACATCGGTTGTGTCTCATCGGTTGAAGTAGCACTTCTCGTTTACACACGTATACATATGCAGATAGATTTCCGGTGACCGTGACGGAAGAATTGATTAATGTCGCAATACATATATCTCCCTACCTATGAAAAAGAGAAAAAAAAAGAGAAAGAGGGATATAGGTCGCACCTTCCCCGGATCATTCCGATGGTGGAAAGCCACGTAACTTTCATTAGCCATAATAGTACATGAATCGAGGTAACGGGTAAGAAAGGGAGAGG